TGTCACTTGAGTTGGGAAAACTAAGCCAAATGAATAATTTGCCGATTTGTTGAAATAGTCTTCAAGCGGAAAAAATTTGATTTCCAAGAAAAGCAGCACTAGGGTCCTGAAGAGAGCGCGCAAAACATTGTAAAAGGGGCTCGAAGCACGAATGCCCAATAAAAAGTACTTAAGACCAAATCAACAGACGGGGAAACGTTCCCAATGCCATTAGGGCCAATTAAATGCTCGAGTTGCTTAATTGAAAAACTTTCTGTCAGACAAATAAAAGTGCGGCCGCACGCGGCGTATACTTGATTTGGATAAAGGACCTGCAACTTACCGACTGCGACTGCGACTGCGATGCTTGGCATTGAAGTGCAGCCAGCGTACGAGATCCTGGAGCTTGGTATAGCGATCCGCATCCTCATCGGGATCGTTGTCATCGTCCTCGCCATTGGCCGCCGCAGTTTCCAGGGGCTGCAGGTGGAAGGGATCATACGAATGATCTGTTATTGAGAAGGTGGGCTTCGAATACGTATAGGACGACGACATTTTCGCTTGGCTCGGAAGAATCTATTTTATAATTATTTTATATAATATACGATTCAGGTATGCCCCTCTGCGTCTCTCCCGCTCTTCACTTGTGCCGCACTTTGTTTGTCTAGCATTTTCCAAGCATTTTTGTTTTCTTATTGAATTTTCCGAATTTTCATCACGTTTTGGCTAATTAAAATGCGTTGGCACCACTCGGTTCGCCTTTTGGCTGACATCGAACCGCGGGCGAGCTCTGCGTTGCGTCCACTGAAAATTGATTCGATGGAAAATAACTGAAAAGTGACATTTGTTGTGGCGAATCATGGAAAGCGGAACCAATGTTTCGCTTTTGTTTTTCTTCTCCGTTGCTTTGCCTCAGTTCGCTCAGTTTGCCGTTCGCTAATCTGTGCCCTTATTTGCTTTCACTTGACAGCCAAATTGATTGTTTTCCCATTTTCCCAGACGTAACAAATTGCCTACGCGTTCGAGAATTTCACGAACAGCTTGAGAGTCTTATGCAAAGTGCCCTCCATGGTCACATTAATTGTAATAAATATGTCAACAGTGAGTAGATCTCAATTCAAATGTATTCTGAGCCTGCGCTTCAGAACACTTTGCTGTAATTCCCAATAGGTTTTAGCTACGAGCTCCATTTAGAGCTTATCACAGTCTAGATACTAAGTAAGAATGGAAATATTAATAATTGACTTTCAATTATAGGGCTGTTTATATTCGAAGGACCTTCCTGGCAACCTCAAGGCTCAAAGTTCAAAGTTGAGAGCCTTGAAGATGAGAGATATCATATATAATAAATAATGTTAACAAGCCTTGAACTAATTGATTTAGGGATTATCGATAACATAGGGAAACTTGTCTTTTTCTTTGTTTACAAAGGAAAGACATAGGTTCGTCAAACATGGTTGACCTTCTAGGATTGTAAGATATTCGAATATGGATCGTCGAATATGGATATTCCTATATCTCTTTTGCATATAAAAATATTTATCTTGATTGAGCAACTGACTATTTTGATTGATGGTTGATTGATTGAATGATTGATTGAATGATTGATTGAATGATTGAGGGATTGATTGACAGATTATTTGATGTTTAGCTGAGCTCCAAAGTCGGTCAAATATGTATGTCTTATAAATAGTTTACTATACTACTGACTAATTGCAGTACTGATTAAGTGATCAACAATTCTTAAGCTAAACATCTGATATACACAATACAATATATGGACATATTCCCTATTGAATGAAGTTTATTTAATTTAAGAAAAAACTTTTTTTCACTCTGATAAGAGGAATGGAATTAAAAGCTTGTTTCATAATTGATGTGAAAGGAATTTTATTTTTGAGAAAACACTAGAAGAAAATCTAGATGGAATAACATACATATATTTAGTATTTAATTTAGAGTTGTATATTAAATATATAACGAATCAAGCAAAGAACACTTAAATAAATAGTTAAAAAAATTTGAAATATTCAATTATTATTTGATTTATATATGATTTTGTCGTATTGCAATTAATTCCACTCGAAGACGCTGTGGGCGAGCAGCAGATAGATGGTCATCAGGACTATCTGGCAGAGCATCAGGGGCAGCATGGTCTTCAGATACCGCGTGAAGGAGAGCTTGTAGCCATGCTGTTCGGCAATGCCGGCGGCAATGACGTTCGCCGAGGCGCCGTAGAGGCTGCCGTTGCCGCCGAGGGAGGCGCCCAGGGTGAGGGCCCAGACGAGGGGCTGCAGTGGGAGGCCGAGCGATTGCTTGGCCACCAGAGAGGTGACCAGTTTGACCATCATCGCCGCCACGGGTATGCTGTCCAGGATGGACGAGGCCAGCGCTGTGGTCCACAATATCACGAATATGGCCATCGTGAGGCGATGCTCCATACTCACGGCGAGAATCACGTGCTCCGTGAACTCGGCAATGCTGACCAACAGCCCGAGCCGCTCCACGCACTCCATCATCACGAACATGGCGCCGAAGAAGAGCAGCGTTGTCCACTCGATGCGGTGTATCAGATGCTCCATATCCTCGCGATTCACCATGATCAGCAGCAGGATCACACCCAGCAGCGCCACCCAGCCGAGGGGCAAGGTGCGCCAACGGGGCACCGACTGTACCAGGAAGCAGACGATGACGAAGATCAGGACACCGGTCGACAGCAGCAGTAGCTTCTTGTTCTTGATGGGGTACTG